CTGAAAACAAAATTCAATTATAAGAAAGTGAAATGCCCAAAAAGAAAAACAGTAACATTTAATGATTGAATTACAAATGAAATTTAAGACGTAAAAAGAAATATAAAAAGGGTAGAGGCTGCTGCACAACGTGCATGAAGATAAGTGATGCATATTCACATATTTACGGTGTTCTGTACTGAAGCTATCTGGAGGAACATTTGAAAACACAATTCAATCCACTAATAGCGAGTGATCTGATGTTTTTGTACAACAGATATACAGCGATTCACTGTATGAAAAAACATCAAAAGTGTCCCCAAAACTTCTCGCTCCTTCGCCCCCATATCGCCCCCTTTTTGTTCCTTTGCCCCCATGTCGCCCCTTTTTGTTCTATTGCCCCCCTGAAAAATGAAATCACCCCCTGGGGGGTGATATCACCCAGGTTAAGAACCACTGATCTAGCAGATAGGTGCATAAGGTAGGACTAGAACTGAAAGCCTTATGGTTTCTAGGTCAGTACCTTAATCACTTCACCAAACTGGCTCTTTAAAAATGAATATTCAGTATGCAGAATCAATTCATTTAAATTTCTGGCTTATTTCTGTGCCCTGGAATATGGATAAGCTGCTAATTAGATCTCTAATTAGCAGCCAATGCTAATTTCCAATTGAAAATGTAATTAGACAAAGGAGGAAGAGAGTTTGCAGACTTTTGGAAATTCAGATTTCAGTATTACCTACCATTGGCTATCCTAACTATGACTGAAGGGAAGTAGTCTAGCAATATCTGAACAGCAACAGTTTTTTCACCTGCATACTAGAGTTTTAAATATCTTTTGTTGGCATTATTCTGGAATGTTTTCTTTTTTATATTTATGGTCTGGGATCAAAAATAAAATATCTATCTGTATTACAGTAGAACAAGGAAATATGGTAAAGAAGTATTGGTTATATTTGAAGCTAGGTGACCTTTTTTGTTGAATCTGGCTCTCCATTTTAGTCTCTTAATTCAAACTGAAGCCACTACCATAAAGTCCATCAACCTGAGTCTAGCAAAAAATATATACATTAAAAGCTTTTTGTTCAGTTTCCATGCTAGTTCTCAAATTACTTTTTGCTTTGAAGATCAAAATTCACAAATTAAAAGTATTACTAGTATTTTGACCAATAATATCTCATGCATTTAAAACAGGGAACCCCAACCTCTGGGCCGCAGCCCACTACCACGCTGTTACCTATTTGGAACTGGACCTTGACATACGCAAGTTGAGCTGTCCACGTGCGCTGGCCTGTTGCTCATGCAAGTTGAGCTGTGCACATGTGCACACACAAACCAGCTTGCCACTCACTCACACAGCCCGGTTCCCCTCTCTCCCCTCCCAGCCCGACTGCCAAGCTGCAAAGATTGGGGACTGCTGATTTAAAACACTGAAGCAGCAATGCTTTGAAGTATGTACACTTCGGAAGATTCTGCTCTAATTACCATAATTTGGCAAAGTTTTAGATAAATGTGCTAGTAGAAATCACTATTTATACCACATGGCAACTTCCAAGATGGCAGAGAAAACACTATAAATTCAAGAGTTGGCATGCTGTTAGCACATGATGGTGATGACTTAATTTCTTCATTATAAGTCTACCAAGTAGCAGCACTCTGGTCCCTGCAGTTATGAATCACATATTTCATTTGTCTACTATTCAAATGAATCGCTATATAAATTCAAGTAAATTAATAAATAAACTTAATGTCTGGTTTATACTCAGTGTCAAAACCAAGTGAACAGAATACACATACAGTTCTATGTTGTGCTCCCGGATTAGCAATATTTGGGTTAGCGTGATTGCCTGATTCATCCCATGTGCAAAGACAACAGCTGGATTCCAGCACCTACTGAGCCATAAACTATCCAACCTATTATAAAGTCTACTCTATAAAACACATTGTGCAGACCCAATGCATGAACTGAGAGCCTTTCCCCACTTGCATTTGGTTGCAATGCATACTTCTCCTGCCACTATCTTTACTCTGCTGAGTCTCGGTAACATTCCCATCATGTTGCCTCAATCCATTAGCAAGGCAGTGTAGTCAGCTATTTAATATTAATCTCCTATTTTTACTCTTAAGCTGACAGCAACCAATGGAAGTTCCTGTACTCTTGGCATCCAGTCAGGTTGTCCAAAACATGCCTTCTTCAAAATCACTAACCTCAATGGGCTTGCAGAGTTAGCTGGACAGTGCCATACTTAAAAGAGGTGCATGATAGTGTAGCTTGAGCTAGCTATTAAAGCATGCCATCTCTCCAAGCCATTCTTACACCACACACACACACACACACACACACACACACACACACACACACGTGAATCATGTCAGGATTGGTAGGTACTTCCCATAAACTAGCAATACCCAGAATGGGAAAGGACAAAATTCCATTTGGCAGCAAACTAGAACAGAGGCAATAGAACATGAAAAAACAAAAATGACGACAGCCAATGCTATGCTAGTATAGGTATTTTTGACAATTTAAGAATAGATAGCAACCATATTTAAATTTGCAGAAAATGTGGTAGTGGGCAAAGGCAAAGGGTGGGTTTTGTTGTCATTTTAGTAGAGTTGCAAATATTTTCATAAACTAGATGAGGGAGTAGAAGGGAAACGGATCAAATTTGCAGACAACAGCAAGTTGAAAGGAATAGCCAAGACTCCAGAAAATAGGCTTAAGATCCAGAAGGATCTTGACAGACTTGAACTCTGGGCCCTGAGTAACAAAATTAAATTCAATGTAGAAAAAAGTAAGGTTTTACACTTAGGCAAGAGAAAATAAAGGTATTGGTACAGAATAGGTGAAACCTGGGTCAATAGCAGTAAGTGTGATAAGATCTTGGATCCCTAGTGGACAGTCACTTAAATATGAAACTGCACAAACAGCTGCACAAACAGTAGTTATCCCACTCTGATAAGAGAGTTGCATAAATCTCTCCCTGTATTGGAGGCACTGAGGATTGCACTGGACTTTTGGATGCAGAAATATCTACAGTGAATGGGATAATTATGCAAAATCTCTAGTTAGAACTCCAAAGGTTGTATGGGGGGAGAGCTCTGTGTAGGGAAGATTACTCCACTTCACTCTCATTTTAGAGCAATGTATTTTCTAGTTTACTCAAAAGGCTATGCTTAAACTAATATTCAAGAAATGTTCGCAACATTTAAAGTCTTCCGAAAATTATTTTGTGTATAGATGAGGAGAAGAAAACTATTTCCTGCTGGGTTCCCCTCCCTCTTATTTTTCAGATTACTTTTCACATTAAAACCACATTCTATTCCATACGTTGATATAAATGGGAAACTTTGCATATTTTGAATGCAGATTTACATTATAATATCAATGGGCAGAATAATTATATGGTGATGGGACAAAAAAGATAAAAGTACCATCACCTAAAATCTGCTGGAATTACATTGGCCAAGTTGTTCTCCTCACTCTTTTCTCCCCCTTTTCCAGCTCTCATTCCCATATTGCTTTTTATTGCCTAGGGTTCTGCCTAGGGAACAAAAAACTTCAGATCTAGCCCATCCTGAGAAGCACCCAAAATGTATTTTCCAGAACATCTCTTTTTGTCCCCGGTAAAAATAGCAAAAGATTTTCTGGCAGCTGAAATGGAGAATGATTATGGTTGCCGGCATTTTTTTTTCAAGGACCCTAGAACTAGAACACAGGTCAGCAACCTGCGGCTCTGGAGCCGCATGCGGCTCTTTGAGCCTTCCCCTATGGCTCCCAGCCTCCTCTACCTTTGCAGAGAGAGACAGAGACAGAGAGAGGCAATTGCGCTTCCCTGCTTCTCTCTCTCTCTCTCTCTCTCTCTCTCTCTCTCTCTCTCTCTCTCTCTGTGTGTGTGTGTGTGTGTGTGTAAAAGAGAGTGCACTCACAGTGTTCTCCGAGGAGCTGAAAAGCTTACTGGGCGGAGCTCCTCCCTTTGCTGGGTCTCTGCAGGAAGCAGGAAGCAGGAAGGGTAGGAGAGAGCTAGCTAGCCCAGCTAGGCTGACTCAGGAATTCTGGGAGTTGAAGTCCATGAGTCATAAAAGAGACGAGGTTGCTTACCCCTGAGCTTGTTGGACAACAGCTTGAAGCTTGCCAGGTGAGCAGCAGATAGGAGGGGGGAGAGAGAGAGAGAGAGTGTGTGGGGGAAGAGGAGTAGCAGACCAAGGGCAGATAGAGAGGGAGGGAGGGAGGGAGAGAGACAGCGAGAGAGAGACCCTTTTGACATCTAAAATGAAGATAACACTGCATATATCCTTTTTTTACCTGTGTGTGTATGTAATTTTATTCTCTTAAAGCATTCTCTTGGTGATCATTGTTTTAATAGTATGGATATTCCCAAGAGTGATATTTTTACTTTTATTTTTAATGTGTGTGTGTATGTATGTGTGTATATATATACACACACACACACATACATACACACACACACACACACACACACCTATAATAAAGGTAAAAAAGGATATATGCAGTGTTATCTTCATTTTAGATATCAAAAGGGTTTTGCGGCTCCCAGTGCTTTGTTTTCAGTGGGAAACGGGTCCAAGTGGCTCTTTGAGTGTTTTGGGTTGCCTACCCCTGAACTAGAACAATGTTTCTCAAACTTGGCGGCTTTAAGATGTATGGACTGGCTGGGGAATTCTGGGAGTTGAAGTTCATACATCTTCAAATGACTAAAGTTGAGAAACACTAAAATAAAAACTATAAACCCTATTCTTCAAGGACAGTTTCATGTAAGTAGTTCATTTTTAAAATTATTATCATTATTATTATTTCAGATTTTTATTTTATCCCTGTGGCAAATTTCCTTGCTTTTTAAATCCTTAAATAAGTAATTATTTAAGAATTTAATCATATAGGAAATATAATATTTTGTTACAAAGAAAATTAGTTTACTTACAGTGTTATAAAATTAAATAAATAATTGTTATAGTTTGATCATGATAGTAGTGAAAATTATTAATATGCTAGAGTTTGCTTTTTGGTTCCTTTGCAATGACATTTTATTTAGCATGATAAAACATGTATTTAGCATGATAAAACATAGCAGAGAAAACAACCAGTTATAAACAATTATTTCTGGACAGTTTTGTTTTTTAAAAAAGCAAGAAAAAAATAGACTTGCTGATCCATAGAATGAGGCTGCATTTTCAGATATGCCCCAATCTTCCACACAGAGATAAGTATGACATTTTGAAAATACTGTGTAATTAATTAGTAGATAGTGTTTTCCTCCCTCGTATTCCCCCCAGCAAACTGTTCTGTAGCTACAACGGAATTTTCTGTATATAATTGCCTTTTATTGTCTTGAGAAATGTTTAGCATAGCAAACATTAAATATAATTCAGAAGGCATATCAGTCTTCTCCCAACCCTTTTCTCTGCAATCTGATGCTTTCAGAATCCTGCATTTTAGTACTTAAAATCACTGAAGGTTGTATGTCTAGATCTATAGAAACACAACTTTTTTCTTTTAACACTAAAAAAGCAGATTCTTCCCCTCCACTGTCTTAGGATCATTCCATTAAATTCACACTCTCTGCTTTTGCTGATTTCATTTTCCTTGCCTCTTGTTCTTCCCATGCACTTCCAACTCAGTCTTCTGAATTCTTAGGATACAGTTTCAGCATTTAGCTGAATCATTCTTCTGTCGGAGTTTGGCAAGGGTTAACTTTTTTCTAGAATGCTCTGGAACACCATGCTGCTGAGATGTAAACATGGAAATAATCCACAGATGCTGCTCCTGTCTGGAGAAAATTTACATTTAAAAATAAAAGGAATGAAGCAAGGCAGAGGAAGGATGAAAGAAAAATATGGATAGAAATGCAAATAACATAACTTACTAAAGGGTATCTAGCATTCAGTCATATGTTAAAGACAAGCACCCCTTCCCCCTCAAGTTCTTAAACCTGCAATTCTGAAAGTCATTGTTTAACCTTTGTCCTTCTTTTGTCCTAAAACTACCACAATTGTAAACAAGCATCCTGAAACCCCCCAAAAGGGTGATTCTTAAACCGTAATGTTATGTATACATATCAAAAGCAAAGTATTATTTAAAAAAGCACATTTTGCTCAGCATGCACGATTCATCTTGAAGAAGGCATACTTTTCAAATCAGATTGCTAACACTTCAGTTGACTACCAGCTCCCTATCACAAACATAAAAAAGAAAGATCAAATGCCAATTTTAAATCCAAACTATGTTATGAAACAGACTGAGAATTCCCACCTGCAAAATTGCTGAAACAATTGCATGAAATAAGGAGTGGGGAAAAAACCTGCTTCCTGGCTTGGCTGTCCTTCACAGGCTGTTGATGGCAGTGGGGCTGTGGCCAGACATGTTACAGCATGTAGATGATATACGATAAAACGACCAGGCCTATAATGGCAAAAAACATGAGAATGAATATGTCCAGCATGATGATGGGGAGAAGCAAGAATAGCAGCAGCTGTGCTGGAATCGGAGACTGGGATGGGCAGGCGCAAGTGATGTAGAGATGCTGCAGGGAAGAAAAAGGAGAAAGGGAGGGATTTGCAGGCTAAAGGAACACACACAGAGCCACTCTTCAAGAGGGCAAAAAGCCGATTCCCGATGAAGCAGATCCAATTCTTCAGGAGGAAATGGAGTGTCAGAATTGTATTTGTAGCCAAACACAGAATGATGCAGTGAAGTGCAGATTTTGTAAAGATGCAGATTCAAGATTAGGCACAATCTGGATGAAGTCTAGTATAAGGAAAGGTGACAGAACTCAAGGACTATCTTATGTCCTCTTCTGATTTTTATTTGGTTTCTGCTGCACCAGGGACTGCCCAGCTACATGAAGAAAATCAGATCATATTCAGCATAAAAGACCAGCAAAGACCCAGATCTGGTAGCCCAATGTCAGCATTATAATACGTGAGAAATACAGCTGCCTGGGTGTCAAATTAATTAAGAGAGGACTGATGAGGGCTTTGGCTCTTTTCTAATTCCATCATTATTAAAGTTAAGGTTACTCCATTTGCTTGTCTAGTCCTCCAAGTGCAGACTAGCAGAGATATAGTATCAAGTGAAGGTCACGTGAAGTGTTATTATTGCTTTATAATGCTTTGATAAGACCACACTTGGAATACTGCCGACCAGTTTTGATTACCAGAATACAAAAAAGTTGTTGATGATTAAGAGATTAGAGGCTAAAGCATATGATGAACTGTTGCCAAAAATGTGCAGAAATTCAGAAAATTCTTTGCTTTGTCAGGAAAGCCAGTTAAATCTAAGATGGCTATAGATTTGTAGACATAGAAGCAGGATCAACTTCTACCACTTTTCTATGCTCTTTGCTTTAAATGTAATATGGGCTGGAGTCCATCTATTCCCAGGGCAATTTTGTTTTACCAGAAATTACAGGGATTGCAGCTCATTGTAGCAAAATCTGATTATCATTCTTTGTTTTACTTGAGGGAGATGCATTTTGTTTATCACACATTTTGTTGCCTGGTCTTGGCTGAGATCACATCTCACATTAACTAATGGATGAATTTGGTCCCTTTTTAGTTGTTATTCAAAAAACCGGCTAATTTAACTATGACTCCAATATGTAAATCAGGTCACTGGTGTTAGTTTCCTCACTCAACTAACAGCTTACAAAGTATTCCCCAAAGCACCTGAAGGAGGATCAAGAAGCAATGGATGGAAACTAATCAAAGAGAGAGGCAACCTAGAAATAAAAAAAATAAATCCTGAGAGTTGGAACTATTTACCAATGGCTTGCCGCCATTAGTTGTGGGTGCTCCATTGCTGGAGGTTTTTAAGAAAAGATTGGGCAACCATTTGTCTGAAATGGTATAGGGCAGTGATGGCAAACCTTTTAGAGATCGAGTGCCCAAAAACTGCCCCCCCCCGCCCCAGGCCACCTGCCTCCACAGCCCGCCGATCACACAGGTGTCCCAGCAGCGCCATGGCAGCCATGTCCTCTGCCCGCGCCCTGCAGCATCAACTGAGCATGACAGGTATGAAGGCGAAGTCTTATCCCCGCTGCTCAGCTGTGCTGCTCTACACAGGCTGCACTCAGAGGTGACTCTTCTCCAGGGGCCCTGCTGGTGAGGAGGGGTGGCAGGGGGAGGCAGGTCTGGGGTAATGGTGCGCGTGCCCACAGAGAGGGCTCTGAGTGCCACCTCTGGCACGCGTGCCATGGGTTCACCACCACTGGTAGGTCCCTTCCAACTCTCTTAATTCTGTTAAACCAGTTGCAAGATGATTCAAACTCCACAAAACGTATTCTGCCAATCCTGGGAAGTCATCTTAGAGAGGGCCTATATAGGTATCACATGTACAATACATAGGCAGAGAGGCCCTCTAGTAGAGTCTGTCACTATGTGGAACACGCTGACATCGAAGACACTTCTTTTCAGCATACACTTGATTGTGGGTGACCTCTGAGGTTATTTATTAAGGGATTGTAGTTTTTGGAATGCTATGATTTAATAACATATGTTTGACAGTATAAATTGCTAGAATATATGTGTAAATAGTATTTGATTTTTAATTAAAGTATTTTTGTTATTTTTTTAATGACATAAGGAAAATGTAACTTTTGCATAACTTATATTTATATTAAATTACTGTATGGAGTACCAAGCTTTTATCAGGTACAAAAATGTTAGAATGACCATGACACTCAAAGTAATAAGCCTAACACTCAAAGTAATAATCCCCCATTATTTGAGATAAAATTTTTTTGAGGTAGACAAATCATTCTGAGTGAGGAATGGCAAGTTAGGAGCTCTCTAAATGAGTGGGGATAGTGACCATGACTAAGATTGGAGGACTGTTGAGTAAATTGGATAAAGAGAGGACTGGAGATTGCCCACATGTATTCTGAACAGCTGCTCTTTGTGAGACTGCAGGACAGTCTTTTTTCTGCAGGTTTAAGTGCCAGGGGACAAGGAATACCATCATACTCTCAACCACAACAGACCCTTTTAAAGAACACTGAACTCACTCACTTTCTAATCACTTTTGGAAGTTATCTATTCAACTATTTTAAGGATATTGGAGAACTTCAAAATAAGTTTAGTAAGTCATCTGGTGAGTTTACTTTCATTTGTGAAAAAAAGAAAATTCATTATAAGCTTAAGCAATGTCAGGCCCAAGGCCAGAGACTACACTGTGAAATCCAAATTGAGTCCAATCCTTTATTTGCTTATACCCAAGGGACAGAACCTTGTCAAACTAAAGCTATAACCATCTAACCTATTAAATATATTATCGGAGATTCTAAGGTGTGGCTATCCTGAACTTTTTCCCCCTCCCTCCCTCCAGCTCAGGAGTATAGTTTCTTAATCTGGGCCTCTCTCTGTGAAAAATTTTCCCCCATTCCAGGTGCACATTCCATCACAAGAATTGACACATTATGATGTAAAAATAGTTTTAAACAGCACAGATTAGATTTATGCACTACTCCTAAGCCATATTTTAATTACGGTTTGTTAAAGCTGCGATTGCTTGATATGGCATGTTAATACATAAATTATGGTTCATAAATTACAGTGGCTGAGTTCTCACAGTGCATCAGTTCAAATATGTGTATCCAGAAAGGTATTTTCCCCTTAAAACTATCTATCTATCTATCTATCTATCTATCTATCTATCTATCTATCTATCTATCTATCTATCTATCTATATGCATTCAATCACAAATATCCAATGGTTTCATGAAAGGTGTCCTTATATCATGATTTTCAAACATTTGCCAACATACTTCCCTTTAGTGTAATCTTAAATGTATATACCTCCCTTAAAAATCCATTAAAATTAAATATTAAAATTAAATACCAAAATGCTGTATAGATATCAAATCATTCGTTTTCTTGACAGATCTTTAATGTCTTTAGACTTACCAAGCTCGTCATCACAGAATAAGTAGACACAAAGACTTTAGTTCAGAATGTTTTTTTTAAATTTGCGCTAACAAGACCTTGAAGGATTAACAATACATGTTTCCTAAATCAACCCAGAATATCAAAGAAGGTCCTTGAATTTGACTAGTAAACTTTACTTATTGTGTGTGGGGTGTGCATTAGCAAAACTAGTATCTGTCTTGATATTGTTCTTCTAACATAAGGTTACTTTATAAAATCAGTGGCCTCCAAAATACTGAACAAATACTCTTTGTATTATTTTGAGTTGTCAGTGAAATCCTATCATGGATGTTGTGTTTGAAATAGGCTATTTATGGATTATTGTACGCTGCTCAGAATAGCTTTTGTGAGATAGGTAGTTACATAAATTTGATTAATAAATAAAAATTAATAGCCAAAACATCAAACTCTTGTTCACATAACCATTTGTCTCAATGTTAGATACAAACAGTCCCACAATGTAATCAAACTGACTCTAAAAATGGCCCAGTGAGCAATATTGCTGTTAAAAAAAAACCCAACTTTTTTCTCTTGCATCGATACAGTTGAAAGTTATAAAGAAAAAGAAGGGAATGGGAGGGGAAGCGGGAGAGAGAGCATAATTCCAGTTCTACCACAGGAAAAAAGATCATAAAATGAAGAACAAAAACAGTCAGCAGGTACAAATTATATTTTTATTTTTAAATTGGCATAAACCAGAAGAGAACTGGTACTACATTTGATTTTATGGTCCCATTGGAAAAGGCCAAATGATTTTGAGAGGGAGTGTAAGCCCACAGCGAAGAAATATACAAAGATAATAAATGAAAACCCCAAAATATAGTTCAAAACAAATCATTAAAGTCATTAATTTAGACACTGAATTCTAGTTTGAAAATCTAAGATGTATAGAAGACACGACATGAATAACAATGGCTACAGAGATGAATTTTAGCTGTTTTCTTTTTTTTTCATTTTATTTATTTAAATACAGGTTTAGGTGCTTTTCAGATATTGGAAAAAAATCACAAAGATAAAAGTGCATAAGTCAAAGAAGGCAGAAAAAAATAAACCAAGCAATAACAAACCATTTATTTCAAGGAAGGGGTGAAAAAGCTAGAAGAGATTTTTTTAAAAAATGAGTTATTTTATTGTAACTTTATTTGGTCCTCTAAAAATATTTATTCACATTATGTTACTTTGTATCTTCCTCATGAAAAGATAGCCTTTGCAGGATTGTCCACATGATTTTGCCTATTTCTCATCAGTCAGGAAAACTGCACCAAGAATGTAGTGATCTCATCCCCATCAGTCACTCCTCTTGGCACCCTTTAAAAACTCACTTAAGGGTAAGTGGTCCCTAGACACCTACAGGCCTCTACAAACTGCCTTCTGACAGGAAAGCCTGCTACCATTCTCACTGGCCTTTCTAGTGGCTCCAACAGAGTTCGTGGAATTATGCTATGGTATGAGGAAACAGACATTCCTTCCTTGAACATCTTTTTCACTAGTGCAAGCATTTAAGGGAAAAAAAGAAACTAGGATTTTTAAGATATAAGATTCTAAAATGTTTGTGCTTCTACAACATGAAGAAAAGGATGCCTTGATAATTTAATCCCTATTTCTATACTGATTGGAATAATGTATAAGAGTTTTTTAATGTTATGAGGCAAGGAGCTCAAATGAAACCAGCAAACATATGCTAACTATGAAGAAGTACAAGACCAGAATGATATACTGGAACACCGTTTTACTTAAATTTGGAGGAACTATACATTGAGGTAAAAGGTTTTTCTTAATTTTTGCTTAATGAATCCCCTTGCTTGCACCCCTTGTAAGAGATGGGTGCTTTTTTATTCTTAACTGTATATGCTTTGTAGTGCAAAGAAAGTTAAGGAAAAAAACTCCCAGAAACAGTGGAAATAATACAGAGAAAATGCCAGCCCTTTACGTGCCTAACGTATGCAAGGGAAAAAGCAGAGATCAAGAAATTATATAAACAGCTCTGGAATGGCAGAAAAATTGAAAGTAGTAAGAATTTATCATGTTGGTCCTTTACAATGGAGAGGTAACAAGAACAAAGCCAGAAAGAATAAGTGAATTGTCTTGAAAGTCCTTTTGTAATTGTTTCACTTATCTTGGTCACAACAGAGTTTGCTACCAAATAAAATAATAAACACCTATTTCCTGCAGATTACTTCCACTGCAGATAACTGTAGCATATTTAAATGTTACAAATATCAGCTTCAGGATACTTTCTACTATGTGACAGAGAGCAGGTTGTACATTGCTGAACTGGAGGGGGGAGTCTTGGGAGAGCTTTAAAAATAAGAGAAAGCAGTTTCTGCCCAATGAATGAATGAATAATCTAAGAACTTCACACTTTCAGTAATTTTCTCAGCTTTGTTGCTCAATTACATTATCCAAGCAACATAAATTTCCAGTTTTGTAGCAGTTCCCTGATATTTTTTTAATAGCAACTTCTATAAGAAATTTGATTTTGGTCCATGATACTATCCCAAGCAGCAAAGAGACTGTCAGCTTGACAGCAAAGAAGGAGAAAGTGGAATATTTCTAGTGAAAAAAACTTTGTTCACCTGATAACTTTACCCAAGGGCCAGGTCTACCCAGAAGAAACAGTAGAAAAGAGAAAAGACTGTAAACATTGCTTGGCTCAAATGGCATACAAACAGGGAGCCGTTTCTTAATCTGCTGCTAAGATTTTGAATCCTAGTTAAAAACTGCTCATACAAGAATTTACTTTGAACAGAAACTTATGAAAAATAAAAATGTGATCCCAAAGATAGCACCTCTGTAGAAAATGTGACTCTTTTTGCTAGGGTGGATACAGAGAAACTTGGGGGAATTTGCCTATTTCCACATGTTAAATACCAACTGAAGTCAGGAGCCTGGAAAAAGAAGGAGTAAACTGATACTCAGGCTTTAAAAGGGGCCTCCATGGAGGTTCTTAGTTATCATGATCACAGTTGTCCCAAAGCTGCTTTAAAAAAAGGCAACTGGACTTTCTTGATGTCTTTGAACTATGCAGGTTAAATGTTTCACTGGCAACTCTTCATGAGCGTTCTTCTGATTACTGTCTAATCATGCCATGTATCAGAACAAACTAGAGATCCATCCTGACTGAGTCATGGCATCTAAGAGGCAATGCTAACATTATAATGAAGCTTGTTAAATCAGGGGTCCCCAGCCCCCGGCCCACTACCAAGCCTTAGTTCATTTGGAACTGGGCTGGGGAAGTGGTGGGCAAGTGGCACACAAGCAATTCTACTTGCACAAGTGGCAGATCAGCGCTGCCTGCCACTTGTGGAAATAGGGCTGCCCACGCACTTGCTCACTGCTCACACATAACCATTCCCTTTCCCTCCCCGCCGATCAGCAAAGCCAAAAAGGTTGAGGATCGCTCAACCATCTGTATAGAGTACCTTTATACCAGAAACTGCTGCAGCTTCCATGTCTTCCACATAGACTACATGTATGCTCACTGCTTTGAGTGCACAAAAGGTGCTCCTGCTTTTAAAAATACTTTTATTTCTTTCAAATGGAAAAGAAAATTAGATAGAATAAATGGGCAAGTCAACACTGTAGACATCATGATAATCTTTTTCAATAAAATGTTCAGATTTTCCCAAAGTTACTGAAAGTGTGACATTCCTCTCCTTCTCCGCCAGCTAAATCAACAGTTTTTGGGCCTTCCTACACTACTTCTTAATCCATATAGCAGTTGTAGTATGATTTATTTCATTAAGTATCAGTTCCAAAAAATACAGCTCTAGGGAGAGGGAGAAGGGCACAGTGCTATGTTCCATGAAGGCTGAGGAAAAGGATGGAAAGGGAATTACATGATACCCCTCCCAAGTTCGTATGCCTCCAAATCAAGGCTAAGTTGGTAGAAAAAAAAATGACCATGTCAAAAATTCATAACATAATAAATGATGGGTAACAAGAAAGAGCAAATAAGTGATAAGGGAACAAAACCCCCAAAGAGCCCTTCCCCTGCTGGCTTTCAGGGTAGCCCTACAACAGAGCTCATATAGCCTCCACATAGTTAGCTGGAAGCATGCCTGTGTCACCGGTCCGCTCAACAGTGCCATACATCCAGCCATCGTCAATTTGCTGCACATTGATTATAATATCACCATCCTGGAAGGAAACCTCATCTTCATCGGCTGCACTGTAATCATAGACTGCACGGAACCGTTTCTGAGACAGGGAAGAGAAGAAAGTAAAGGATAAATCAATGCTCAGAAATGGATATCCCAAACTGTGGAAAAAGAAGAGAAGTATTTTTATATATATTTAGATTCAATGAGTTTTATTTGGTAATATTTGTGCCAACTCAGGAGTTTCAAAAAAGTGCAGATGTATGGCTAAGGGTCTACAAATAGAGGCTGATGGAAGGGTTTATTCCTCTGCCCACCTTGATTTCAAATAACCTAAATCTCCAAATACTGGGAAAGTTTTTCTGCGGAAAATCAAATCCAAGCAGAAAGGAAGAGTTTACCACTTTTCCTTGTTAGGATCTTACAAATTAACAAGATATCTTTGTCTCCTAATGTTTCCACAGTTTCCTATTGCTTATAGCAGTATCCAACACACTGTATTTTACATTATTGTATCTGAGCATGTAAGCATATCAACAAAGTGGAAAGTGGAATTAGTGGTAAATGTACATCTCTGAGAGATAAAATATAGGAAGGCATCCAACCTGTAAACCAGGGGTGTCAAACTCAATTTCACTGAGGGCCACATCAGCATTCCGGTTGCCCTCGGGGGGAGGGTGTATGGCCAGAGTGGGCATGGCCTACTGGGTGGGCGTAGATGGAGTGGGTGTGGCCTACTGGGTGGGCATGGCCAGCTGTACATTGTTCGCATCAAGGGTGCCTGTGGGGGCCTGGGCAGGAGTGGGACAGATCTGAGGGTCTTTGGCAGAAGGGGGTGGGACCGAGGCAAGCGCCAAGGCATGGTCCATTTCTTGATTCCTCACAAAGGGTGACATCTCCCCAGCATGCACCCGAGGGGCGGGGCCAACACGGCAGGGGCCAGTCCCTTGCTGTTTCCAGACAGCCTTGTGGAGCCAAGACTGAATGCGTTTCAGCATAGATGGCCACCACAAAATTGTACATTGGCTCCCGGCCAGCCTGGGCCAGGGCCAAGGCAGCGGGGGCTGTTCCCTCACTGTTTCCAGAATGGCTTTGCAGGCCACATGAAACCACTTTGCGGGCCCACAGGCCTTGTGTTTGACATGTCTGCTGTAAACCAACTAAAAATCACAGAATTATCTGCCTGGACAGCTACTTATTCCAGGAAGTTTTAATATGCTCTATGTCCTCCTCTATAGTTTTTTTTTCCCCTGTGCTATTTGTTGTTATAGATTGCAGCAAAGGATTTTTAAGTCTCCCTGTTCCACATTCTCTGTTTTATGCTTAACTGAATGTTCGGAAGCAAACTGACAGTGAAAAAAAGAATACTGGGGAGTTCTAATGCTATCTCTCCTTTTTCCAGTGCTCTAGCAATCTACTGAAAAGTGTGAACAGATAGATTTAAACTTTTGGCTCCTATTAGCTCCCATCCCAAATAGATTTTCTGACTTGTTCTGGTAGATACTAATTCTTATGCTAACCCTCCCTATTGTTATATACAAACACAATTCATGTTATTTTATACATTATACTTGAATTATAAGTATAATTTACACATTATACTTACATATTATACTTGAATATAGCATTATCTATATTATTCTTTACAAAACTGAAATATAAAAAATTAAAAAGAACAAGCAAAAATTAATCAGGCCACCTAGAAATGCTATGCACTATCCATTTTGGAGGAACTTTAGTTTTACTGTTCGATTTATAAATGAAATGTGCTCCATTGTCCTGCAGATCAGCATGAACTGAATGAAACTTAAATTAAACATTTTACTGATTATCTGAAACTTTTCTAACTACACAAGTTAAGAGTTAAAAAGATGGAATCATAACTTCAAGATTCAGCTGAAATCAGAGAATTAACAGACAGCTGGAGGATAAATATCACAGTATTTTGAGCTGCCTTCTGTAGCTTCACATGCAGAGTTAAGACTTGCAAAATTATTTCTTTCCAATAATGTAAAGTAATTTTTCTTAATATATACCCTTTCTGACATGTAACTACCTTTCTTCCTGTCTTCACCTGAACCTGAGAGATTAACCATATCATAGGATAGTGGTTAAGAATTAAGCCAACTTATTTCAGAATAAAAATCTGAAATATTTACAAGAAATCGTACATACATGTCAATGCAGGACCATACTTACTCCTCCTCCACTTGGGGCACTACGCTGTATTGAGACTGGTGCTGCTGGTTCCTTATAGCCATATGATTGAGAGGCTGGTTGTTGTGATGGCTGCTGATGGTAAACTAGAATTGAGGGCGGGGGGGGGGGAGAGACAGACAAGACAAAGACATTGTTAACTGTTGAGTGCAACTTGAATCTGCGTAAAATTCCTAATGAAAATGTTTGTGAGATGCAAAATTCACAAATTGAAAAACTACTTTGAAAAAACAAAATCCTTTGCTTTCATCTTTGTTTCTATTTGTCATTATGTTTTAAAAACTCCTGCAATATTAAATAATTTGTGCTGTTTATTTATGGAATGAGATTATATGCCACGCTGCTAAATTCCATCTGGCTGTTTTTTGAGCCTCATGTCATGATTTGGGGGAGAATAAATTGTAATCAAATGGAGCAATTTGTATGCTTATTAAATGTTAAATAGTGTTAATTTTATTTGAATTTTATATCAGTTTTTCATGGTCAATGCATAAATTTGAATACTGGTCAGCAATTACAATAAAACTGAATAGATTAAATGGGCAGTTAATGAAAAGTATTACTAATATCATTTAGATCGACAATTATTAGTCCTAATACTTTTATACTTTTTGTTGACTACAACTGTTTATTTTGGCTAATATTACAGATGATCACTCCAGCTTTGCATACAATATTTACAGGCTTCATCTACAGTAATAGTCTTACCTTTTAATATAAGATTGGATAAACTATGGAGTAGAATGGCATATTTAGCATCAACTAGTATAGTCTTTCCAATTATATTACATTTTTCCCTGTCACTTTTCTACTTTTCTTTTAGCACAGGTACCATCTCCCACTTCTCAATGTTGTGGAATTGCTTCATTTCATACATGTATCCTATGATTCTTCTAACAGTAATCTGGTATGATGTAATACTAACATGGTTGGGATTAGCAAGACTCAGATTTAAGTACCTCTTCAATTATCAATAATAACTCTGGAATGCTACCTTTTTTCAGCTCAATCTATCTCACAGCTAAATTAAATAAAACTTGGCTGTATCCCAGCATGAGTTTCTTAGATTGCATTGTAAGAAATAAATAATAACCACAAATTATAAGGCTTCATAAAAAACCACCTTATAACTACAGGGTAAACAGAAGCGATCCTCTTTTATTTGTGCAAGACAAAATTACTGCAGGGCAAATTAATACATATATATTCATGTGAATACACTGATGGGATTGCCAACAATCTCTCTTTCCTCCTATTCATTACCAGGGTTACTTGGCTGGGCATGATGAGGTTGCTGATGTGACAGAGGTGGCTGTTCAACTGGTCTCCTGTAATTGGCACCTTCTTGGGAATTACGGTGTTCCAGCTCACCTCCCTCTCCTCCAGGAGCACCCATCTTGCTTTTCTCAAATTCCTCATGGTATTTTATCTACAAAAGAAGGAAAACATACCAGCAAGAGCACCGAGACAAATGGGAAAGCTTTATAACGTATTTCCCACATCATTAATGAAATCTTTCTGACTCCTTTCTGACCTTTATTATGTCATGCACTTTTGTTTCCAGTGTCTTAATGAAAATTCAATAATCGCAGATAGTTTGTGAATTTCCACTGAAAGTCACAGATGAATATACAAATAGTTGAAGGGTGGAGAGTCAGGAATTGGGTTACTGCAGAATAGGGATATTACTAAAACGTTTATCAATTTTTCCTTTTTTATTAATTCTACATTTGTTTATCAAAAGCTTAACATACCAAATTGCTTTTGTTATCTATTCTCTACTCACTGTTCATCAGGAAAATATATTATGGTGTTTAGCTGTTATTTACCAAATTCCAGTGCAGCTCCAGGACATAAATCCCAGAATCAAGAGTTATAAGTAGTCAACCCATTTTCCATAAACATTGGTTCTCAAAAAAAAATTCTCTTTAACCTTCCTCTGCACATGATAAATTACTGTAATAGAAGGTATGAACCAGACGATGGAAACAGAGAGCTGGTTCATTCCTATATATATACAGTATTGTGGAGTGTAATCAGCTCTGCCTTTCTTTTCACCCATAAGTTGCCTTTCCTAGCCAGATTGTCTGTCTGTCTGTCTTCCCTCCCTCCCTCCCCTTCATTCTCCTTATTTTTCTGAGGAATAACAGATAAATATAAGTTAGCCATTATTTATTTTTACAATGGGAATTTGAGAAAAATTAAAACGATGACAGGATCCAGCTTAATAAAGGCACAGTCACTTTTGCTAGTTAAATCCAAAAGGATCGGGTCTACCAGAGAACATCTGCCTTTGATTTCAATCCCTGAAGCCATTCTTGTGAATGAGGAGTTCGGTCACTCCCCAACGTCAAAATTTGGGAATGCAGAATAAATTGAATCCCTTGGGGATTCCCTTCCCAGGTCCTCTGCTCCATGATCTATTTGCCAGACTTGCAAGTTTTAAATTAAGTAATTGCTTTTCTGTTTTGCTTTTTCCCTCTTCAGTTATAGACTTACTTCAATTCTCTATACTACAGAACCCCCAGGGCTGCAATGGGATTTATGCATTAGACATGTTCTTGTTTGATGTTTACAGCCCAGTTCAGTTTAGCCCAGTATTTGGATAAATGTTAAATGAACAGAAATATATTTGTAATTTTGGAACTTTATAAGCAAGCATCCACAGTACTGCCTTAATAACAAAATTCAAGAATCTGCAATCAAAATGTTTAAGAAAAGAAAGGTGAAGCTGTCAAAGGAAAAGCTTTTAAATATCTGAAGCATGGAGACAGAAGATGAAATGTGCTGGCCAGTTTACATTGCTGATTTGATCTTGAGTTTTCTTGATTCGCTGTAATTCAGGTGTGTCTGCCACCACACTAAAGCCCTTCCCTTTATTCTTTTCAAATTCCTCCTTATAGCGGACCTGTGTATGAGAATGAAGAAACAGACATTAGTTATATTATGACAGCACAACTATCTATGAATTCTAATCTATAACCCCACCTGAATGTCAAAAATTACTATTGTTGTTGTTGTTGTTGTTGTTGTTGTTAATCAGGCTGGTAGGAAGTAGATGGGGAAGACAGGCTTAGATTCAATTCCAGAAAGCAATGGTATGAATTCAGAAATCAACCAATTCAGAAAAATGTATCCTTAATTTTAAGATGGAGTCATATCTATAACATAGTTGTGCAGCTTTTTTGGGCAGATGGCTCTTAGAGTCAAAGTTCATGCTTGATTCAAATTGTGAAAAAGACTGCAATTTTCAATTTAAAGAATGATTGTCCAACCTTTTGGCTTGTATAGGCCGCACTAAGAGAAATTGTCCTGGGCCGTATAGAAATTATAAAATATAGTTAATGTATATAAATCATATAATAATCTTAAAATTTACAATCTTATGGGCCACATTACTAATTGTCCAGAGCTGAGGGTTGGATATGCCTGATTAAAACTGTCTTGCTTATTAACCTTAAAAAGATTAAAACTTTTTAAAAAAATAATAGTTATATTGCTAAATATTTAAAATTAATAAAGCCATGAACTAAGCAAAGTTCCTGATGAAAATAAAAATATGGGTAGTTCTCAACTTAGAACCATTCATTCAGCAACTGTTCAAACATTGGGGCACTGAACAAAGGGACTTATATCTGGGCTCTGGGGTTACAGAGGTTTATTTATTATTAAATTTGTTTATCAGCCATCCCATCAAATGGTGACTTTTGAGACTGCAATGCTCCTGCAGTCACATGATCAAAATTTGGGTACTTGATAGCTCATTCCCTACTTAGGATCAACTCCCCTCACCCACATATTATCTCCCCATCTATGCCTTTTCAGCTTCCTGCACAATACGGTCCCTTCCACCCTACCTGACCTTCAGCAGTTGGTAGGAATTGAAGGAAGATAGTCCCTTATCTTGGGAGAAACCAGGCTCAAAGCTGGGATGAACCAAGGCTGAAATGGCTTGGATTGGAGTAGGTCCTTGGTTAACAACCTGTTCTCAATGGGGACTGCTGAGATAGCCATTGCTAAGCAAAGCAGTCAAGTGATGCCACCACTTTATGACCACATTATGGCATAAATTCTTATCCTAATTGTGGACAGAAATCAAAGACAACCTATAGTTTGCCTTTACCTTCTTCCAGGCTGCATTTTAAACTTCTCTCTAGCCTACAGAAAGCTTCCCAATGACCCATTCCAAACACTGATTAATATTTGAGACTAGGAAAGTTCAGTCAAATGCTACCAATTGCTAAAATTGCTAAACCTTTTTTAATATGGAAAATAGATACAAACCTGTTTACAAAAGCAACATATTATACTCTGCTTTCTTGTAAATTAATATGGCTTAGTAAGGAGGTTGGCTTGTTATGGAAATACATTCCTATCAAAGGGTTTCAGTCAGTTCCCCTTGGCCTTGAATGCACCCATTTTGTTAAATTATTACTTTCTTTCAACCAATTCATGTAGAAGAGAATTTTAAATGCATGCATTTTGAAAATTGATTTAACAATGCAATTGGACAAATTAAAGAGACATACTGAATTATATTTGCAGAGATCAGAGATGTTAAAACCAAGTTTCTTGACAGATATAACTTTGCAATACTCAGATAGATTCATATGTTTAAAATCTCCCTTACCTCTATCTATCTCAATACAGCTTGAAGAGGAAATTCACTATATCCCTAGAAGCTGAGTTTAAGACTTTCTTAATCAGTAACTAAGCTAGAATGCCATATATGCCTGTAAAATTTCCCCATATTAGCATAATATATATTCTAAAGTAAATAATGGTTCACTTCTGGTGAGTTGTAGATTTTCCTGAAGATCTCTGTCCAAAATATCAAGAAAATCATAACATACACACCTGAATACCAGCTTAAAAGTTATTTACCTAAAAAATTCTCAGTGTTCAGAGCAACTTTCTGATGAATGTAAACAGATTTGCTATTGCTCTCTGTGGAGTCAACAAAGGGAGAGAGGGAGAGAGAGCCTTGTTCTCAGACAGCAAAAAGACAATCACAGCTGCAAGCAGTTTTCTAAATCTAAACTGTGAAACTGAGAAGAGTGCATGTCAATACAGACAACTAATACTAGTTTGAACCAGTTTAGTATAGTGGTTAAGGCATCAAACTAGAAACTGGAAGACTATGAATTCTATTCCTGCCTTAGGCATGAAGCAAGCTAGTTGGCCTTTGATTAATCATTTTTGCTCAGCTGTAGGAAGGAGGCAATGGCAAGCCACTTCTGAAAAACCTTGCCAAGAAAACTACAAGACCTATTCAGGCAGTCTTCATTGGTCATGACTGAATAGAAGGAAAAAAAGTTTAAGAAACCCAACTCAAAAGAGCAATTTTAACAAAAGGTAAAGAAGTTTTTGCATTTTAAGGAGTATTAGGGTATCCAGAGTTTGGAGGCAATGCAAAAGCAGCTCCAATGAGAACACTTCTTAGTGAAAGATGTCAGAAAAGTATTGTATGTTTCTAAACATGTTATTGTAAGTTTAGCTGTTCCCATAATAGGACAGGTAGAGCAGAAAAAATGAAATCTTTGGATTGGTTTAAAAATATCTGAAACTTGTCATTTTACACAGAGGCAATACTACGATCATTTGACAAAAGGACAGCAATATTTTCAGAAATATGCAAATCAAATGTTGCAAGCATTCATCATTTGCACAATACATCAGTTCACACTATTGTTTTATTAAATTTCTCTTTATACTCCTGTTTTCAGTTCTACTCCTGAGGAATTTTAGGAAACTTAAAAACCCACATGCTGTTGCACAATCCAAGTTGTCTTTCTATCAGTAAAACTTTTGTTGCCATCAGCCTGAACCACACATACTTAAAAATAAGTTATTTTCCTCCAGATATATTCACCTCTAACCAAAATTCACTAATCTCCTATCTGTAAAGTTATCAGAGTTTCAACCCATGTTTTAGGGGCTTCTATTCCCAATTTTCTTGTAGAAAGGGATGCCCAGCACTCAGAAAAAATATTCCAAAAATTTCAGATCTGTGACCCCTTATATTCAACACTTAATACCTGCCTGCCAGAAGAGAATTTAGTGCTAAGTGATTTCATCAAACCAGGGAAAGAAAACAGACACTTCTCTAAGTCAAAGTATATCAAGGCATTAAAGTTTAGCAAGGGAAAGGGTTTAAATGATATAGCCCTAAGCTATATCTAGTTTACCATACGAGACAAGCAACTTGTATGGTTGTCTTGTAAGTCATTACAACAGCCAGTAACAGGAAAGTAGAAAGATATACCCTTTGGGTTCTTTACACTTATCTGCAGATTTCTTACTATTTCTTATGCATCTTTCATTATAATCATAAACTTATATTTGTAGGAAACAAAAATTATGACGATGTGACTGACAACAGGTATATGATGTTGTTAATGTGCGAGAGAGAATTATTACTCTCATTAACTAATTAGAGTTATTATCAATGAAATGTCTTCTGAAGGTATTTCATAAGACATTCTGCTCCTTTATAATTTTGCGATGGGTCGGACACACTTTGCAACTAACAACAACCAAACCCTAACAGCAGTGGTGGCAAACCTATGGCACGGGTGCCAGAGGCGGCACTCAGAGCCCTCTCTGTGGGCATGTGCGCCGTCGCCCCAGTCCTAGGCCTTCAGCTGGGTTTTATAAACCCTTTTTGCTTTAGGCCTCCGCTGCCGTGTACAAAAAAAAAGTCAATTTCAACTTCTTGTGGGAAAAAAAAATATCTTGCAAAGCTGGAATTGATTGATTGAACTTTTTAGTCCCACCCAGTTTGCCATTACCACCACAGCCGTGCCCACGCAATTGGCCACACCCACCCAATGGGCCACACCCACTCAGCACCCCACAATGCATGTGGGTTTTGGGTTGCAGTTTGGGCACTCGCTCTCTAAAAGGTTCGCCATCACTGCCTTACAGAATCCTTGTTTCCTTTGTCCCATGCTTTAACATGGGAATTTAAATCTCCCCAATTTTTATTGTTACAGACAAGATTATGAAAGCATATTGGAAGTGAGTTACTATATTAATCATAGAAGGAAAAAAATAAGAAACAAATGTAATCCCTAGTGAAGATACGCAAACTATATAGAAAAAGGGAGACATTCCTCTGGTGCCGAGGATGAAGCAACAAGTCTGTTGCAAGCAAACAGAGGAAATAGACAAGGCTGGCTTTCAGTTTTCTTTGTCCTTTTATGGGTACTCAGCTGGAATCGACTCAACTTTTTTGCTGTAGAAGGCTAGACATAAGTGAGTCAGGCAAGCTGGGTAGCTCTTTCCCATGTCCTGCTTAATGCGGGCTATTATAAGCTGTTAAAACGAGGATGGTGGGAGTATAATGCTGAAAAGAAAAATGGGACTAACTGGGGGAAGTCAAAAGAGTGGGGACAGCAGCCATCAATCCCTCAGTGAGGTAATTCAATTCACCAGCTAACAAACAGTTATGTAGTGAATTCTCTCCCCCATTCCTTCTCTTCACAGCAGCTTCAGTTACAAAGCAGTGGAAGTCTATCAAACTTCCCATTTTTTAAATCAGGATTCCCAAATTTTCACTCCAATTTTAAAATAAATGGGAATACTCAGGAACAAGCATCTTGATACAGCATGCAAATTCAATCCAGCATTTAGATCATCTTAAGTTTCATTAAAAAAGCAAACATGATTCTTAATAATATGAAAAAAATCATTCAAATTTAAAAAATAAGGTGAAAACAATAATGATTTCCTGCAATTTAGCCTAACCCTAAAGGAAACAAAACAACACATACTGGGCACATATTTTAATTAGTTACATAGGCCACTGCCTCCAATCTTTTTTAATTCAAAGTTTTGCTTAAAAAAAAAGAATAAAATGTAGAATATATAACCATATCTGGACTCACCCAATACTGTAGAGTATAG